TAAACTAAAGATTATAATTCATACAGTCAGAATGGAACGGATTAAAATTAAAATTATCTGACTAGTCAAATTCTAATCTCTAGTTTGCAATCTACGATTACGTCACATGTAACTGCCTATTAAAATCCGATGTCCATAATGCTAGAAATCAATCTAAGATCTCAGACCGAGAAAAAATTAACAAATCACATTTGAACAATTTGATCATACGACCATTGCGATTGGTCAATTCTTTCTTCATCCGAGGTCTCGGATCGATTCTAGCATCGTGGACACAAAGCTTAATAAGTCCGGATCTATAGGTGTTTTAAGCCTTAAACCATAAGAAATTGATCAACTACAGTCGAATGTGAGGAGAATAATTGATTCGTCCATTCTTTATAGCTTAAGATTTAAAAATCTATTGTAGATTCGGGTTAACTGGTCAAGTGGTTCTTTCAAAATGCTTATAAGGAGAGATCTCTTTTGTACTTCTAGGACTCTAGGACATATTATATATATATATATATATATATATATATATATATACGTCCCACTTATAAACAAATTATAACTTTTGAATAAATAATCCTATCAACTTTTACTTTGACTTATTTCAAAGAAGAAGGTTCAAAATCTGATGCTAACGAGAATCTGCGAATAATTTATCGCGAAAAATATTTATTCATAAAATGAACCAATCAAAGTCCTTCCTTTCCATAAAAGATTCTGATTGGTTGATTTTCTTATGCTTCATACATTTTTATATATTGTGCAACGATTTGTGCTCCAGCTTTAACGCTGTATGTAAATGCTTCATTGACCAATCAGAAAGAAGAATTTTACGAATTGACCAATTAAAGCATGCTTTAAAGCGTTTGCGGCGTGAAGTAGATAGCACACCGAGTTGTCGACTCGACAGAAGCTGACGCTCGAAGGAGTCGATCGGTTGTCGTTCCTCGAGTCTCGACAACACTCGACGGTAGTGAAGGGAAAAAAAATCCAAACACAAATCGGTGCGTTGAACCCTCGCGTGTGATGTTGAGCTGTTGCGAGTTCCTACGAGCAGTGTGATAGTTGTGTGTAATGCGTATGCGTGCGTGTGTCAGACAGTGCGTGTCAAAATTATTATGAAAACGCGTTCGCGCGCCGTCGATGTAATGAAGTGCTGAGTCCACCCAATTCGGCTTATTCGACCGTTCTCGCAGGCAATGGGTAGAGCCGGCGCGTTCGCGATTATTACGCACGTCTGAAAATTCAACCACCTCAGGTCCCGGCACGCTGACGCAGGTACGTCCGGAGCTAACCGGAGCGCGATGGAGTGCGGTGGATACCAACGGTCAAAGAGCAGTTTCGTATATATAATTCCACCTGATTCCGCTTCATTCCACTTGATTCTCGAGACCGTGCTCGAGAATCAAGAGACGTTCATGCCGCGCGGCTCGTCGTTTCCCCCGCACAATACGCTACAAATCATTTACAGAGTGCGATATCGACAAGGTTATACGAGTGTACCGCGTTATCGCTGATAACCGTCAGACGAGACGTATTTACTTATTCCCTCCCTCCCGCGACTTCCGTTAAATTCTACAAGAATTTGTAGAATGTTGTGACGTTCGTTTGACCGTGCTAACACAGCGGTGATGTTCGGACTTTGCAATCGGTGTTTTAAGTCATGATTAAGCGGATTATAATTTCCAAGCACGTCTACATTTACTTGTAAAATTCGAGGTCGTTCGACACACCTCAGTTCTCGTTATCGCAAGCGTCGGTTACTATCTGTTCAAGGGTCGCATTGTGAGTCATGCTGTGCGAACTAATTTTAATTTTGCAATTCTTCAAGTCACATATCTCTAGTGGCAATTCAGTTGATCATACGATCTGATGTATATATATACGTGCGGTAATCTTGCGTGTGTATGCGTGTATGCATTGATGCGTGTTGTGTGACGATTGAAGGCCGGATTAATTTTGCTGCGAAGTTTGAAAATAATATTCTCGTTATTTACTGAACACGACTGGGTAATTTAGGTTAATGAGAACTGTCATCATTACGAAACGCGATCTCTGAAATTCCACGGCAGTCGCACAGCAAGTGATATATTTACATTTTGTATAAAACGAGAAAATTATTTCATGTGCATGATTGTACATTATTTATGCTTTCCAAGGAGTAACTTTCCTTAGTTAGCTAAGAAATGTGAAAACTAAACTTTTTGTATGTATGTTATTTCATGTACATGTGCATATATACATAATTTTCACTTTTCACTTTTCCACTCTAGAGAAAAAGTTACATGATTGCTATCCAGCAAGAGATACAGTATAACACAGTGAGTCATATTATATCCTTGTTGTTTATCAATATTAAACAATTTTTTTAATGAAAAAAAAAAGGAGTTGCTTTGGGATCAAGCCCATCCTGTTAGTACATTATAATACATACTTAGACTTATGTTAAAGCTGAATTCATAATTAGTGAATATAGGATAGATTTATAATAGTAAATGACATGGTATTACTTAAAATTAAAATGCAATGGAATATTCTAAACTGAGATAAAAAATATTAAGCTGAATCTATCTTAATTTATTAATATTCTGTATATTGATATATTGTTAAGATAGATTCTGCAGCTTAATATTTTTTTATATAACTAGATAAACTTTTATTGGAGATAACTTATAATTCTATTATTTATATCTTGAAACTATTCCAAGAAATTTCATTCTTATGTGAAGTGTTAAACAAACAATGTTAAACAAAGATGAAGTGATTTATTATGTCATCTGTGTATCTTGTTGGAGAGCACCTATATAATGTTCTAAATTTCCTAGAATTAGCGATGTTACTTAATTATTAATTATTAAATATTTTTTTATAATTTGCAGGAATAATGTTGAACAGTATAACAAAACACATTTTGCACTGCTGTCTGCTGCTTGTGGTCATATTAGTATTTGAATTTGTATCTGGAGGCCTTCGATGGAACATGGATAAGAAGGAAGAAATCAATCCATGGACAAGATATGGCATTATCGGTGCAATTACTTTGTACCTGTTACGCACAGTGACGTTTCTCTCCTTGCCACAAGTGTTATTCAATTTTATAGGATTAACGATATACAATGCATTCCCTGATAAAGTAATCTTGAAAGGCTCACCTCTGCTTGCACCATTTATCTGTATAAGAATAGTAACTCGCGGGGATTATCCTCAATTAGTAAAGACGAATGTGAAGAGAAATTTAGATAAATGCATAGAGGCTGGTCTCGAAAACTTCCAAATAGAAGTAGTAAGCGATAAGCCAATAGGATTAACGCCGCATCGCAGGGTGCGAGAAGTTGTCGTCCCACCAAAATATCGCACAAGTAGCGGTGCCTTATTTAAGGCTCGTGCTTTACAATACTGCCTCGAAAGCTCGGTAAACGAATTGGCTGATCACGACTGGATTGTTCATCTCGATGAAGAGACTCTGATGACTGAAAATTCTGTTCGCGGCATATTGAACTTTGTACTGGATGGCAAACACCAATTTGGTCAAGGATTGATCACATATGCTAATGAAGATGTTGTTAATTGGATTACGACCTTGGCCGATAGTTTCAGAGTAGCAGACGATATGGGAAAGCTAAGATTACAGTTCACCATGTTTCACAAGCCATTTTTTAGCATGAAAGGGTCCTATGTTATCACACAGGTAATTATTGGTAATTTCTAATCATGACAAATTTTAAACTAGAAGATAGTACATCATCTTTCCTCTCTCTCACACACACACACATTGCTTTTATTTTAATCATATATAATATATTATTATGATTATTATTATTAGGCGTTAGGAACTCGAAAGCTCATTGCCGCAAATACCAAATCCCGCCACTGTTCCCGTCCCTGAGCCAGATCCCTCCATTTGTGGCCCTCGTACCCCATTTCGTTAAGGTCCATTCTAATATTTTCTTATAATATATTATATTTTCATATAATATATTATATATAATAAAAATATAAATATATATATCATCACTTATAATATTAAAGTAGTGACATATTTACAGAAAAAAATATATCTATTTTGTTTTTTGTTATTTTTACGTTAGGTTTTTCTATGAATATGTATTTCAGATGGGAGCAGAAAAACACGTTTCGTTTAATAATGGATTAGACGGATCCGTTGCAGAAGATTGTTTCTTCGCAATGAAGGCATTTTCCCAGGGATATACGTTCAATTTTGTGGATGGCGAAATGTGGGAAAAATCACCGTTTTCTCTGTGGGACTTTGTACAGCAGAGAAAAAGATGGCTGCAAGGTATATTACTTGTTGTGCATTCCAAAGCGATTCCATTGAGAAAGAAATTCTTGCTGGGTATTTCGTGTTACTCATGGGTAACGATGCCTCTTTCCACTTCTAACATTGTTTTGGCCGGATTGTGTCCGATTACTTGCCCACCGTTGATCGACTTTCTTTGCGCGTTTATCGGTGCAGTAAATATCTACATGTATGTGTTTGGAGTAGTTAAATCGTTCTCCTTATATCGTTTCGGTGTTGCCCGATTTATGCTGTGTATATGTGGTGCATTATCCACTATTCCATTCAACATAATTATTGAGAATGTTGCCGTGATATGGGGTTTATTTGGTAAGAAACACAAGTTCTATGTTGTTAACAAGGAGCACAGGCCGCCATTGACCGTATGATACGTCATCAGTTTAGAACTATTATCTAACTGGTATATACTTAGCAACAGAGTAATGTTTCCATTGTGCATGTGCACAATTAGTACCTGTAAATTTACATAGGAAACTATCACTGTCATAAATAAAATATTTATAACTAGTATTACATGAGAATTACAAGATCCCTAAGACAGATTGATTAATCAATTTCAAAACAGGCATAAATAAAATGTGTAATGTATACAGCGATAGGTAGATGCAGTATTAGAAACGTATTTTACATTGGCATTAAAACATTGCCAATTTTGTTAAAAGTATTAATATGTCAAAAATATATTTATGTCAATATCATATTCTCATAGTGCAAATTATACAGGTCATGTATACTTTGATCTCATAAATGTCGTGTGAATAAGTAGCATTCGTTAAGTTACATACATATCATTTTACATGTTCCTTTGCATACATCAATTTTCTTATCGTATTCAGATATGTTTTATTTTTGCCATATCATAGTAGTTTCTTCTTAATATTCACTTAATATTTCACGTAGTCTTACATCCTTATATATAATAATTTTATATTAATAACGATGTCCGAAATGTTTACTTCAAACATTTTCTATTTTTTAAAAATAGTAATAAGTCATTTAAATGCATAATTCGGAAAACTGTGATAAATTTTGCTTTTCTATAAAAAATTAAAAATTTTGATTATAAATTTGATACAGAAACATATTTAGAAAATGATGTCTAAAGCGAGAGTCGCAAAATATTTCATTATCTTGTTATCGAAGTATACATATATAATAGTTTCGTTATTTTGAATTTTACATATTTTTAATTAATGACAAAACACGTAGCAGTATATTTATATCATTAATATATTCGATATAAATATATATTGTACTTAATAAGGTTAATTTAATTGTTTTACAAGATATGAAAATTTTTAAAAAATATAACAACATGTATTACATGTTACGGTTTTTGATAAATTGGAAAAATTATCTATTTCCTATCATTAACTTAATTAATGTTTTAAAGATTATAAATTACGGAAATATTGTGGGAAAGGTATAAATTTTAATAGAAAGACAAACATAAAAATCCAAATTAATTTTGTGATATCTATTAAATTAAATGTTAATTATTAGATTGCCATATTCTTAAAATTTAATAATTATAAAGCGATATTCATAATTGTTCTTATATTTAAAATCTTATACTTAAAATTAAGAAGTTTTAAGATGTCACAAACCCATTACAGGACCGTATTAATATCTTAGGACATTACATAAAATGATTAAAATAATAACGAACTATGAATACCGGTCGTATTCTTAACAGAAAATGTGAATCCAATGTTAAATTTTTTAAGTAATGTAGTTTTGTTATGCACTGCATAAAGTTTTACTTCTTATGCAAATAAAAGGAATTACGTGTGACAAGACACACACACACACACACACACACACACACACACACACACACACACACACACACACACACACACATCAAAATATTATAGCAAATAAGTTTTAAAAATAATAAATTATATTTACTACTTTTTGCTTCTAGCAGTAGTTTTTGAGATAGAAAAGTTTAAAACTAGTTAATTACAAATTGCGGTAAAATGGCTGTCTGTCCATGAGTCGCGCATCGACAGTGTTAGTGATCGCGCGTAATGACTCACGGATAGCTTTAATCGTAATCTGTAATTAGTTAATTTTAAACTTTCTATTTTTAGAACTACGACTTGGAATGAAAAATGGCAAATATTTTTTAACTTATTTTTTTCTATAACTTTCTTGCTATAGTATTTTGATTCGCGAATTTCAAAACACTCTCTATGTATATAATATAATTATTTTGTTATAATTATATGTATATGTCCATGAAACATTTTGTATCACATTTATATTAATTCATCTTTTAAATAATTTTTTTAATGACTTTTTAATTTACTTAATTTACTAAACAATTTAAGACTTCCTAAAATTTTGTACGTTAATACAAATCATAAAATGTTCATTTTTCAGAACTTTATAAATATATTTTATGATTTTTAACACAAAAATAGATTGTTTTAAGAATACAAAGCAATACATTTAGTAAGACTTATAATATCTAGTCAAGAAAATGTAAAGCACGTAAAATTTCCATCATAATGCATATTGTATAAATAATTAAAGTAAATTTTTATTAGCACATTTAGTACGGTGAGATATTATTTTTAAATATTGTGTTCAAATGAAAAAAAGAATGATGCTTCTGCAGATATTTTAAAGAGGTTTTTCACTTTTTACTAATTACATTTTAATGAAATTTTACATACATCTATAGATTAATATTAGTTGATTGATGCGATTTAAAATTGCTGTGTTCGACACTTAGAAATGTGTTTATGCTAATGCATAATAATTAACATTATAATATTGATATTATAAACAGGGCCGTCGCTAACATATAAAGCGTCTTTGTGCAAAGGAAATTTTGCGGTTCCTTTTAATATTTTTATTTATCAATCTTTTAAATAAGCTTTTTTTTAAATAACTTTATAATATTTTTAGAAAAAGCGCAATTTTTTAATATTTTTTTATATTTCTAGGATATTGTAACTTTTTTTTAGAGCGGAATTATAAAAATGAAAGTTATTGTTTAAAGTTCATAGAACAATTTTCCATTTTTCACGCCCTAGGGAAAATGTTACATGATCATATCCTAGTGCTAAAATGACTGTATGTACTGAAAGATTTTAATAGCGTTGCGATTTATTATAGCGATTTTAAAAGAAATTAAATCTGGTAGAAGCGAGCACATGCAATTGCAGTTACAGGAATAGAGAATTGATTTTTTAAATTTAATGTGACATCCTTCCCTCTTATGAACGCGCATTTGTGCAACACTTGTTTGCGACGCCCTAATTGCAAAGATCATCTTATATAATAATATTATGTATGGCACATTCTCTATGTAATTATCTTTTGTTATAATAGAATATATTATTTGATAGTGTAGTAACTATTATTATAATATTATACAATTATATAATCACAGATTTATGTATTGCATTGCGCTATGTAGGTTGTAAGATATTCGCACATATACGAAGTATGTTTTTTAAGTATTTTATTTTGTTGTGTCAGTGAATAATGAAGCCACACACTAGTCTCAGCCATTTATTTCATTATCTTAACAGCGATATCAATTTATAAACTGAAAATAATAAATATTAATATACACTAAAGTGTAAAATCTATATCAATTCGAGAAATAAATATCAGGATTTCTCAAACTCGATTCTATTCTATGAATCTATTCTTTTTTTTATCAACATCTTTTTTTTTATTCTTAAATATTATGCCGAAAGACCATGACAAATAAGTAAAAGGAATTTGCAAATTTGTAAAATAGTTTTGAAATTGGTTAAAAATGTTTAACTTATATTTCTTGGTATAAAAAATTCATGTCTATCATCATCTATCATGCTGTAATTATGAGTTTGAGAATCTCTGAATCACGTCTGAATCAAATGTGGGTTAAATTGAATGAAGCAACGATACGTCTTTTTTGTTTATGTGAAGAATAATAAGAACAATTTGTATCACGTAAACAACAATATAACTGTATTTAGTATTATTCTATGTAATCTTATGTAATTATTATCTTTTATGTAAACTGTCAACTTGTATTTTATCAGATACGATTTTATTTTTGTCACACACATACACATACATGTAATAATTAATTAATGCTTTTTAAGAGACCAGTGATTAAACCAGTGATTGAATTATGTTACATAAAATTTTTCATATCATATAGCGTTCTATATTATTAAAGAAATTTGCAGTTATCAAAATCATAATCACTATGAAATTCTGAATTGTTATGATAATTGCAATTGACTATAATAAGAATAATATTAAGAGAATTTTGGATGATATATGATATTAAAAAAATAAAAAAGAAAATTTGAAGTAAAAATTACTTCACAATAAATATCTATTTTTTTCATTCTCAAGTTTATAAAACTCCATTTGTAATCTTCCTCGTTATCCCGTCTAACATTTGATATCTTAAATTCTCGATCTTTTTTTTCTTTCTAAATCTATTTTTTATTTCTTATAACTACAATTTGTATCCAATAAAGCAACGTATTTCAAAGAATAGCACATTATTTAAACAAACACAGCGTATACAAACAATGTTTGATATTTATTACTTAATTGTAATATCAAAAAATACAGAATATTTTTATATAAAAGAATATTAAAAAATGAAATATTTTTTTCAATATTATAATACATTATTAGCAATACAATAAAATGTTATCGCTTCTTATATATACATGATTTCAACGTAATTGCAGGAAGATTTTTTCTTTTCATGCTTATATCTTCGTTTTTCTTAAAATCCATAAAATGAAACAGATTATGAGACAAGTCTTTCCATGTATTTTTAAAACCATAATGGCGTAGTAGTCTTATAAAATCTTTTACATCCTCGAATCTGCTTTCGACTTCGGCTATTTTTAAGATCCCACTAAATTGATTGAAATAAAAATAATTAATTTCTTACTGCCACATATCAATCAAGAATACCATTATTACTTACTTATTTTTAAGAACTCTGTTAGCTTCTATTATATAATCATTAAGATTAGATCCCATTAAGGAAAGACAAAACACGACAACGTGGACGCTGTTCATTAATAATGGAGTATGAGCCATGTCACAAGCTTTCACTTTGTCATTTAAAGCAATGAAATCAAATGAATGTACTGTATGAGGAACAGAAGCTGCAAGGCGGGCTTCACCACATCCAAAATCAGCGATTACATTGTTCGTTGGTCTGCAATTATTAAGACATTATTAGACATTCATACTTGCATAAATTTCATTTAAGGTTAAGAGATAATATACAAGTTTTTAATTGATGATATTATAACATCCAGTGGATTTATCGGCCATTGTTCAATTTGCTGTTTATATCCTGCATGATAAGCCATAAAACTATCAGGATCTTTTTGAAAATAATGTTTAGATTGTAAACTGTCATTATTGTACAATGTCTCATTTATAAACCTGAATCTGGATGCTCTTAACTGCATTTGCATTCTATCTCTCAAAGTAGATTTTTTATCTCTTAGAGTAGATTGTGCAACTTTCGTTACTTGCGACTTATTTTCGAGCATTTTTTTTAAATATTTGATATTTATTTTATATTTGTCCAGCTTTAATATATCAGATTGTATCTGCTGTGTTTCTACTTTAGTTGACATCTGTTTCATATTCTCTGCATTGTTCAATTCATTTTCGTTCGGTCCTTCAATTAATTTTTTCATCATAAACTTAAGATTTTTTACCTCCATTTGTAACTTTTTAAGTTTTTCTTCTTTTTTTTTAATACTTTTGCTTCCATTATCTTCTGAAGAATCGTCTTCATCGTCTTCAACGTCTTCATCATTATCTCTTACAGTATCCTTATTTGTACGATTAAGATTCATGACCTGTTTTCGTTTTTTATTTTTCTCATATTTTATTTTAATATTTGAATTATTTTGTACTTTTTGAGACATTTTTGATATTTTTGTTTCATCATCCTTTGTATATTTCGTTGGAGCATTTGAGTTTTCTGTATATTTTGTTGCATCAAGTTCATTTTTAGAATTACGTAGGTTTTTCTTTTTACTTTTTTGCATATTTGTAAATACATCCTTTGCTATTTCATTAGATGCACTTAGTTTCTTTATATTTTTATTATCCTTTGAATATTTGGTTAGAGAACCTGAACTTTCTGTATATTTTGCATCAAGTTTATTTTTAGAATTATGTGATTTTTTTCTTTTGTTACTTTGCATATTTGTAAATGTATCCTTGGCTATAGTGTTAGATGTATTTACTGTATTTAGTTTCTTTAAGTTATTTTCATTATTCTTTGGATATTTTGTTGGAGTATCAAAATTTTTTGTATATTTTGCATCAAGTTTATTCTTAGAACTATGCGATTTTTTCCTTTTACTATTTTGCGTATTTGTAAATATATTCTTTGCTATTTCATTGGATGCAAGTTTCTTAAAGTTATTTTTATCTATATTATTCAATAATTGTATATTAGCTTTCTTTTTTCTTCGATTTCTTCGTTTCTAAAACAAAATTTAAAAAGGATCTTGTTTATATCATAAATTTAAAATGTAAAGGAACTAAAGACATTTATTAAACATCACATTATATTTAAGAAATTAACAAAAACTCGATTACCTTCATGATGGACGTTTTCGTACTTGGTACAGCAGGCGTTTGTACGTCCTGCACAGTTTTTTTTAATTTTGCCATTATTTTATCAAGTTAAAAAGATTAAAATTGTTTATCGTAAACTATTTGCTAAATACTCCAGAGAAAAGAACTATAACACGCGTCTCTCTGTAGAAGTAGACGATTAGACGCCGTCCGAGAGGCGGGAACACCAATTATCCCGATCAGAATCAACTTGCCAACTGATGCCTGCTGGTGTCAATTATTATTAGACACTAGCATCCCTGAATTACGTGAATATAGGAAACATTATTATTATACATTCTCTTCTCTACTGTCGATAAAAGCTTTTATTAGAAATCCATGTAATATAGCTACAGTTTCTAACAGTTAATAAATATTAATTAGAAAAATAGTGAAATTTCCTTGCATTATTTGTAAAGAATATAGCAAATTGACAATTTGAAAACTGTAAAAATAATAAAAAATACTAATTTAAAAGTTATCTTATAATAGACGATAACTTACCAGTCATTTAATACATGTAAGTAGTTTTGGCCTTTAAGTTCAGAGGTGCTAGTGTCTAACTTTCAATATGGCGACGCCCATATAATGGATCACGTTTTGTTTCGGTACTCTAAATACAGTATCCAGATCCATACGGTATACAGATCCATACGCCAGTGAATTATTGTGAATACAAGACTATGAATACGAAAATGTGTAAGAAGGACGTTCTACAAGCCGTTATTCTTGCGGATGATTTCACAACAAGATTAAATCCAGCGCAAAATATATTTCCAAGCATTCTAATGCCCGTGATAAACATACCACTTCTCGATTACATGATAGAAACATTGATAAAGTCGAAGATACAAGAGGTATTCCTTTATTGCAGCAGTCACATAGATCAGCTGAAAAAATATACCGACGAAAGGGTTTACAAAAATGTTACGATCTCTTTGATCATTTCCGATGGCTGCAGATCACTCGGAGATGCTTTGCGAGATATTGATACAAAAGGATGGATCAGAGGATACTTCATACTGATTCGTGGGAATACCTTTACCAATACAGATCTTAAAACTTTATTCAATATTCATCGTATGAAAGCCGAGAAGGATAAGGGAGCAACTATGACTATGGTATTACGGAACTTTGGTTCAATGAAGGATTCTTATCTCAATGAGGAAGCATCTCTAGTTGTGTCAGACAAAAGCACTAATAAAATTCTATATTACACTAAATTGAAGAATAGTGAGAAAAAAGTAAAGCTGGAATTAAACTGGTTTCTTGATCATAACGAAGTAGAAATTAATTCTTGTTACTTGGATACTCATGTCTACTTGTGTTCGCCATCTGTTTTGCCACTCTTTGCTGATAACTTTGACTTTCAAGTAAGTAAAACAAATTGAATTGCTTTTTAAAATATCAATAAAATTATCTTATAACATAATTATATTCAATTACGTAATAAAGAAACAAATATAATTTACTATTCTTATGTTTTTAGACTATGGATGATTTTATTCGTGGAGTATTGATGAATGAGGAGATTTTGGACTCGAGGATTTATTGGCAGCAGTTAAATACAGAGGATTATGCTCTGCCAATTACCTCGTGGAAGGCTCATCATATACTTACTCAGGATGTTTTGCGTAGACATAGTTTTCCTCTTACACCAGATGCTGTACCATTATTGAAAAACTTTATATGTATGCCGCGGAGTACGTATAAACACGAAACTGCTACTTTTGCTAAAGGTTGTTTATTAGAAAAAGACTGTATTCTTGGATCTAATAGTTCGTTAGGAAATAAAACTAAAGTTGCGAGATCTGTGATCGCAAACAATTGCATCATTGGTAGTAACGTTAATATAGATAATTCTTACGTTTTTTCAAACGTTAGAATCAAAGACAATTGCACTATTAAAAGTAGTATTTTATTTCCGAATTGTATTGTTAGATATCGTAGCCAAATAGATGGATGTATATTGTGTTCTGGAGTTGACATTGCTGCTCGCAGTCAATACGTCGATACCATTATCGAATCTACATCTTCTGGTATATCTGAGATAAAAATGTCGGATCTCGAGGCTGAAGATGGATTTTTGTATTTTAAAAATGCTGAAGTAATTGATTGTGACGACTGCTCCTCAGAATCGTCTAGTAATGAAGAAGTTCTGGAATGTGATTCTCAAATTCCAGACGACACGAATATGTTCTTGTCCGAAGTTATTGATAGTCTGTTACGTGGTTATCAAGATAAGCTCAATTGCGAGAATTTAATTCTAGAAATAAACTCGTCCAGATATGCGTACAACGTTACCATCCGCGAGGTGACATATAACGTCATCAAAGCGATTCTCAGTCTGCCATTACACTATCTTTCCGAAACGAAGACTGCCGTTACTAATCAGAATTATCAAAAGAATCTGAAAATTATGATAACTTATTTTAACACTATTATTCAGAATTATATTAAGAATGAAAACGCGCAGGAAGACTGTTTGCGTGCTATAGAAGACGTTGTTAATACAACCGACGAGTTACTGCCGTACGCGCAACACCTGTTGCATCAATTTTACGATCGCGATATACTCTCTGAAGAAAAGATTTTAGAATGGTATGAATCTACTGACGAAAATGCGGACGCGCATCATACAAAAGTAAAGAATGCCGTTCAACCATTCATTAAATGGCTGCGAGAGGCAGAAGAAGATTCTTCTGGGAGTGATAATTAATTTTTTTCTATTTACACACAAAAAAATTATTACTTAAGGTAAAATATGTTTTTATAAGTGTAAGAGGAAATATATATATATATAGGAGTGTCTCCGTATAAGTGACTATTAAATTAAACGGTAATCATTTAGAAAACTTATCTATATTAGAGAACGGAGAGATGTGTGCACATTTTTATACAATAAAATAAATATTTCGATATAATAAAAGTTGTAGCATTCATTATAATGAATATGAGCGATGTACAGTATAACAAAATTTTTTTACAAATTATCTAAATTATCAGTTTGAAGTTTTGCGGGCGATTATTACTTTTTCAATTTTGGTCTTGCAGTATGGTCAACTTGCAGCTTCCGCATTGATAATTGATTACATATATAATCAGATGATGTAACGCGTCAATCAACATAGATAATTTTTCTTAGTGTTCACAATGCTTACAACAGAGTTTAGTTAGAACCGTCTAATTTAATATATTTATTGTGTTTGTATCTTTTAGCGAGATAAAAAAAGAATTGTTATTTAAAGCATAATTATGTTTCTATAAATGTAAGAAGAGGAAATCATATATATAACCATTTATATAGAGAATTCTATATATATATATATAATATATATGCGTATATTTACATTGTTAACAAATTATGACAAAATGGCACTGTTCTCAACTTCTTTATTTTCGTATCAACCTCTTAATGCTTTATAATACTTAATCTTTGAGCAACGATAAATTACACGCATAAAGTGGTAACACGCGCACCAAATATATTGTACTATACGCGTATGTGTACGTATATCCGTGTAAGTGTATATGATACGTGGATAAAGCCCGCATGGTTTGTGTATTTAATCTTGACCTGCTTTCCGATTATCGAGACAGAATTATCATTCCATAGGTACGTCCAACTCCGCGAGATTGTGCCATGCCAAATGTCGATGATCTGGGAATTTGATCGCGTCTATCCAATGTCGAAGACGTGCCCCTTTGCTACCGCAACCTAACATAAGGCCGCCTGTAAATTGTATAAATGTATAAATATAAGTATTATCTGTATTATCTACAGGTCGGATAATAGATGTTAAACTTTAATGATAGGAATTGACAACTTTGGAATTCTAATTAATCTGATATGAATTAATTCAGTAATCATAATTGTGATAATAAAAGAAACAATCGCTATTCTTCATTTATTTGAGATAGAGAAGATAACGTAACTTTTCTGAAAGATAGATGAGATAAGCAATGTTTATATCTTTAAGTAAATAAGTCATCACATAAATAAATGACAGAAAAAAACAGATTCTTTTCAATCTTAATTTCTAGTTAAGATTATAAAAATGGATACGATTATATAAAAACTATTTATTTATACATTAATTAAATTAAATTTTACTGTTATATCACAATTAATTATATTGGTTCAAATAAAATACGAGAGATTTCGGATATACCTTTTAGTAAGGGCGTACTTAGCGAATGTGCAACACACGTTACATGTATACAGGCGCGGTAAAATTATTTTTGCGGATTGCCAACTCTTTTTGTACGCCTCTATCTTTGAAGACTGTAAATTCTTAACATTCGCTCAGAAATGAAAAAAAAAAAGATATAAAATAAAGTGATTAATATTCGCAGTACCCAGATAGTCGTTACTCTTGCCGAAGTCCTTGTCCCACACGGTCAGGCATAGGGTCAATTTCATTAATTCCGTCAAGCGAGTCGCGAAAACGAACTCTTCGTTCCACTCTGGATTCAATGTCTTCCTCTTGATGCTCGTGCTCTGCGAGCCGCGGCCGGCCGTCTTCCTCCCGGTCAGCTTTTTGGCAGTAGCGCGAGCGGCCGAGTAATCTAGGAACCGTTGCTGCCGATGATTGTCGGTCGCATCCTCGACGAGTGCCAGTTTGACAAATGGGTCAGAAAACCCGTTGCTGTCCATGGGCAAGAGATTCGTAGCACGGTGCACGGTAACCAGCAGCGCACGTCGACGCGTGCAATAGCTCAGGCTTATCTGGATCTGTCCGCGACCGCTTGAACAGATACCCCAGGTTTCCTCTTCGTTGTCCACCTACAACAGAATAATTATTGCTGCAATATGTCGATAAAATATTTGTTATTTTATATATTTTATTATAATACATTTTATCGCATACAAATTAATTGTATCAACTTATTTTATGAATAATTAATATTTATTTTAAATGAAAGAATGTTCTTATCTTCGTTTTTTTTTTTGTACTAAATATTATATAAAAAGTTAAATTTATTATAGATATATATAGTATGAATTAAATTAAATTTGACATGTTTAATTATATAAAGCATATTTCTGTATTCAAACATACTGGATAATGAGCTTGCAGAGATGTTTTGTAATGTTTCGTTTGATATGGTAGCAATTCGTGCAGGGGAAATCTCGCTTCTCCCAGGAAGTCTTGGCCCGAGGGGTCGTCCTGGATAATTAGGACGTGCAACGCCTTGCCGGTT